AGCTTGATGTTCTTTTCTGAACAAACGATACATCTTTATAATCCAAGGTTTCTGTTCCTGTGTATTTGCCTAGCTAGCTCTAAGACGGTCAGTAATAGCCAGTGTTTCTAGGCACAGGGTAGGGTTTTGTTACAGTAGGCTATCTCTGCCCTCCCCATATGCCTCACTTCCCTGATCTGTAGGCTATCTCTGCCCCCTCCATATGCCTCACTTCCCTGATCTGCAGGCTATCTCTGCCCCCCCCCATATGCCTCACTTCCCTGATCTGTAGGCTATCTCTGCCCCCCTATGCCTCACTTCTCTGATCTGTAGGCTATCTCTGCCCCCCCCATATGCCCAGGGCCGGACTGGGGAAAAAATTAGGCCCGGGCATTTTTCAATCAGAGCGGCCCCCTAAGAAGGGGGCGGGGCCAGAGAGTGTGTGTTTTGTCATCACTAATGACAACACGCCCCCTCTCAAAATGAGCATGTTGGTTCAATGCCCAGAGCCCTGCTGAAGAGCTCTGGCATTAGAAAAAGGCCCTGAATTTGTTCTGCGCAGTGCAAGCAAATTTAATAACATGCTTGCGCTGTGTTTGCTTTTAAATTGTCTCTGGTGTCTCCACAAGTGGGATACCAGAGGACAAAAGGGCCAGGAAAGTGCATATGTTTGTAGCCTGCTTGTGGGATTGCGTGTGTGTAGAGTGTGGTGTGGTATTGTATAAATAGGTCAATTTAATTTGTGTTTGTGGTGTTATATGTGTGGCTAGGGGCTGTAGAGAGTGTGTGTATAGGGGGCATAGTGTTATAGGGGATGCAGCGAGTGTGTGCATACGGGCTGAAGTGTGTGTGTATAGGTGACGTAGTGTGTGTAGGGGTTGCAGAGAGGGTGTGTTTAGAGAATGTTGTGTTTGCTGACAAGGAATGTAGTGTGTGTGTGTAGGAGATCTACTGTGTAAATGACCCAGTGTGTGTGTGTAGAGGATTAAGAGTGCATATAGGGTAAGGGATCTAGTGTGTATCTGGAGCGTAATGTGTGTAGTGGTGCAGTGTGAGGGGTGCTGTAGTGTGTGTGTGTGTGTGTATGTATATATATATATATTCGGACTTATTGTATGTGTGAGGAGCGCAGTGTGTGTATGTAAGAGGGGTGCTGTGTGTGAGGGTGTTTTTATCTGCTGTCACATTCTAGGTTTCTAATTTTCTTTGTCTGTTAACTCACTGAAGGGTTATTTTATATATATGGTGTGCTGTGTGTGTCTTGGGGTGGGGTGCTGTGTGTGTGTGGGGGTGCTGTGTCTGGGGCTGTGTCCCGAGGGTGCCTGTGTGTCTGGGGGATGTTGTCTGGGGAACTTCTTCTGTCTGGGGTGCTGTGTGTGTGTGTCTGGGGGGCTGTGGCTCTGGGGGTGCTGTGTGTGTGTATGGGGGTGCTGTGTCTGAGGGGTTGTGTGTGTCTGGGGGATGCTGTGTCTGGGGGCTGTGTCTGGGGTGCTGTGTGTGTCTGGGGATATGGCTGTGTCTGGGGGCTGTGTCTCTGGGGTGCTGTGTGTATGGGGGTGCTGTATGATCTGAGGGGTGCTGTGTGTGTGTCTGGGGATGCTGTGTCTGAGAGATGCTATTGGGGTGCTGTGTGTGTCTGGGGGATCTGTGTCTGGGGGTCTGTGTGTCTGGGGGGTCTGTGTGTGTCTGGGGTGCTGTGTGTGGGGGTGCTGTGTGTGTGTCTGGGGCTGTGTGTGTGGGGTGCTGTGTGTTTCTGTGGGGTGCTGTGTGTGTCTGTGGGTGCAGTGTGTGTCTGTGGGTGCTGTGTCTGTCTGGGTGTGGTGTGTGTGTCTGGGTGCGGTGTGTGTGTGTCTGGGTGCTGTGTGTGTCTGGGAGTGCTGTGTGTGTCTGGGGGTGCTGTGTGTGTCTGGGGGTGCTGTGTGTGTCTGTCTGGGTGCACTGTGTGTGTCTGGGTGCACTGTGTGTGTCTGGGTGCGCTGTGTGTGTCTGGGTGCGCTGTGTGTGTCTGGGTGCGCTGTGTGTGTCTGGGTGCGCTGTGTGTGTCTGGGGGCTGTGTGTCTGGGGGTGCTGTGTGTGTCTGGGGGGGTGCTGTGGGCTGTGTGTGTGGGGTGCTGTGTCTGGGTGCTGTGTGTGTCTGGGGTGCTGTGTGTGTGTCTGGGGATGCTGTCTCTGGGGCTGTGTCTGGGCTGTGTGTGTCTGGGGTTGCTGTGTGTGTGTATGGGGGCTGTGTGTGTGTCTGGGGGCAGTCTGTGTGTGTCTGGATGCGAGTGTGTGTCTGGGGTGCTGTGTGTGTCTGGGGTGCTGTGTGTGTCTGGGGGTGCTGTGTCTGGGGGTTGCTGTGTTTGGGTGCTGTGTGTGTGGGGATCTGCTGTGTCTGGGGTTTGTTGGGGTGCTGTGTGTGTGGGGGTTGCTGTGTCTGGGGCTGTGTCTGTTGCTGTGTGTGTGTGTGGGTTGCTGTGTGTCGGGTGCTGGGGTTGCTGTGTGTGTCTGGGGGGTGCTGTGTCTGGGGGCTGTGTCTGGGGGGTTGCCTGCATGTGCTGCTCCCCTGCGGATTCAGTCAGAGAGAAGCAGGGATAAGATGCAGCTTCCTATCCCTGTCTCTCTCCATACACAGTGCCACCTATTGGCCGGCGCCGGTATTGCACTGTATTTTCAATCTCACACGAAAATTAGCAGAACAAGCTGAAAATTGAAAAACACCAAAAGATAAATGGGCAGGGGTAGCAGTGTCAGAGGGCGAGAGCCATGTTTCAGTTAATGCTAATAATTGTAGGGAACGAGAGATGTAAAGATCATGCACAGCTGTGGATTTAGTAACACTGCAAACAGAGCGTGCATTCCAGAGGGCAGTGTGGAAGAAGGATTTCACCCCTTAAGATTGCGGGACGTTCTATGCCGCTCCTAAGGAAGCGGCTCAAACACGGCAGGGCGTCCTAGAATGTCCTCGGCGTCCTATGTACTTAGGCATTGCCAACAGGGGGAGTGCCAGTAATAACAGGTACTCCCCCTGCTGTCTGAAAACAAAAAAATTTTGAAACAGTGTAAAATGAAATAATATATACTTAGACCATATATATATTTATTATATATGTTATCTAAGTATATATAAACACATATACACATATACACATAAATACACACACTGTCTAAGTGTATTTTAATATAAATATATATATAATTATATATATATATATTCATATCAAAGTACACGTACAATGATATTGACTAAATATATTTATATAATTATCAATATATATTTATATATAATATAAAATAAACAAATATGTAATTACGTTAAAAAATAAAATTAAAAAAAATTAAAAATAAATAAATAAAAAATATATATACATGTATAATTTCGTTCTAACTGTATTTTAAAATTTACATATATATATATATATATATATATATATATATATATTTATATATATATATATATATATATAAAAACAAAATTGCTCCTGCACTCACGCTTCAATGTCCCTCAGTAGCCGGGTGCCAACCAAAAAGTAGCTTCAATATCCAAGGAATATAAGTAAATGGCTGCACTCATGTAGTAAAAGTCCAAAATTTAATGATAAATAGTTAAAATATCCAAGATCAACGTTTCAGTCATCACAGACTTTCATCAGGATCATAAAATTCATAAGACAGACAAGCAGATTATATACACCCTATACAATTATTCCAATCAAGCAAATTAGACAAATATGTGAACATAATAGAATAATAAGCTTACCCCAAATAGAACTCAGCGTGTTGCCGGCATCCCTGAATGTCCAGTGCGCCCACGCAAACATGTTCCGCCCTCAAACAACGTCATCACATACAGACCACATAAAATAAATTTAAAATAATAATGCCCAGCTGGAGCTCAATACCCCCTATGTTTATGGGTATCCGAAATTACTAATAGCAGTATATTAAATATCAATGCGAGGTGTAGCAGCATAATAATTTCAACAGGAATGAAGCATATATTAAACCATACATTAGAAAAGGATTTCTATTTTGGAAACTACAACA